GATCATTAGGTGATATATACCCACTGAACACTGCCAAGAACAACTTGCACGGACCAATCTAATTTCATCCTGCGACAAGATAACCAACCTAGCAGACAAGGAGAAAGATGCACATGCGATATATCTTGAGTACAACTCTGGCCAGTGTCCCACTGAGTAACTTCATGAGCAACTGAAGGAAGAATGGCCTAAATGAAGTAAAAATAAGCACTGACCCAGTGGCTGTTTAAGCACACCTAGAAGCACTGCACCTCCAGAATATGGAATTACCCTTGACACTTCCAACTGGCATTTGAGGCACTGGCACAGGCTGCCCAAAGAAGTGGTGAATGCTCCATCCCTGGCTGTGTTCAAGGCCAGGCTGGACAGAGCCTTGGGTGACATGGTTTAATGTGAGGTGTCCCTGTTCATGGCAGGGGCTGGAACTGGATGAGCTTTAAGGTTTTCCAACCCAAACCATTCTATGACTCTATGATTTAATGTCCAATGCACAGCAAGGTTAATAGAAGCAGTGTTAAAGATTTCCTGGCTTGTAGCATTTTAATTCAACCTCTTTGAATTCCCTGACCTCTGAGCCTCTTCGTGTATACAGCAGGTCTTGTTCACTTCCCCTACAGAAAGATGGTTTGGGGAAGACAGGCTGACCATGGTAGACTCCACATGTTACACATACCAAAATCATAAGAAATCAGGTTTTAATTCCTACTGCTTTAGTGACTGATCTCTGTTTATTTTAGACATAGAATCATAGAATCATGGAATCACAGAATCATAGAATGGTTCGGGTTGGAAAGAACCTTAAGGACATCCAGTTCCAAACCCCCTGTCATGGGCAGGGACACCTCACATTAAACCATGCCACCCAAGGCTTCATCCAACCTGGCCTTGAACACTGCCAGGGATGGAGCATTCACAACCTCCCTGGGCAACCCATTCCAGTGCCTCACCACCCTCACAGGAAAGATTTTCCTCCTTATATCCAACCTAAACTTCCCCTGTTTAAGTTTTAACCTGTTACCCCTTGTCCTGTCACTACAGTCCCTAATGAAGAGTCCCTCCACAGCATCCCTATAGGCCCCCTTCTGATACTGGAAAGAATACCTTTTTTTAAGTAATTTCAATCTTTTTCATTTCTCAACTTAGAATATAAAAGCCAAAATAAAATACCTAACAAATTCCTACTATCTACTTTATAACTTTTCAATGCAACACCAATGCATAGCTGAAGCCCAGACATGCTCCTACACAGAAAAAGAGGAACACAGAACCACAGAATGGTTTGGGTTGGAAAAGACCTTAAGATCATCCAGTTCCAACCCCTGCCATGGGAAGAGACACCTCACACTAGACCATATCACTCAAGTCTCTGTACCACCTGGCCTTCAACAGCGCGAGGGATGGAGCATTCACCACTTCTCTGAGCAACCTGTTCATTTGGGTTTACATGGATTTAGGGGAGCAAAATAAGGATATGAAACACAGATGCTGCTGGAGAAGGTCACAACTCACCACTGCAAAGCAGGGACACAGGTTACACCTCTACTTGCCACTCCACACTGCTCTTTAGTGGCTGTGGGATGACACTGTCAGCCCCCAAAGCTGCTATATTCCATGTCATCCTCTTGGTCTCTATGTAGCACAACTTAGGGTGCTCCCTAGCCACAGAACATTTGAGTTTTGATGAGTGCAATCTCTCTTTTCTCCCAACAATTTCAAATAGGGAAATATTAACAATAATGATAACAATAATGATGATGATCATAGTGATAATAATAGTAATAGTAGTCATAGTAGCAGTAATAGTAGTACACTTGTTCCCCTCACCCCCAACCAAGACTCTGGATACCCAGCAACACCACCAAAAGCAGAGTTTGAACCACAGTTGTCTGACACTCAGAAATCCCAGGCAAACCAAACTCCCCCCAAAACTGCCTCCTGGATTCCTCCAAAAACTGCAAATGGACCCCATGGATCATTCTAACTAGGCTGGTCAACAAGGTCAACCACCACTCAGTCCATTCAGTGATAGGCTCTAAGTCCATCCATCATCATGCCAGCCCAGGGCCAAGAGAAGAACCTTCATGTAATTATTCTTTGTCCATCCTGGGGAGCGCATTCGGATTGAGCATGGAGGAAATGCAGCCAACATGGACAGATTGGTATGAGGACAGAGGATACCCTTTTGATAGTACCACCTTTTATTAAACAAACCAAGCCACCAACCTCTTGAGTCTTTGCTTTCTTATATGAAATTAAAGGTTTCTGAAATCAAGTCCCCAGTGGTTCTGTCTTCCCCCATCCTACTGCACAACCGCTTGCTGTGACAAGCCTCCAGCTCCTTGCATGAGCTAGGGCTGCCAAAACCTGTTTGGTTTTTGCTTGTGACTTCCATGTCAATTTAATACCAAAAGGCTATTGAGCAGTGCCACCCCCATCACCATTACTGTTGCATCTGTTGGGTGCCTGAATATTACTGTTGGACCACACACCACCATTGGACAGGGATGATGGCATCTGGTATATTTATTTACTAGACAAAAAGAAGAGGTTTAAAGCACATACAGAATGCGTCCATCGATTTGTCCCTGCTGTGAGCAGACATACGTACACTGGCAGGAAGGCTGTGCTCTTTTGTTCCAGCCATACCATGATCTAATAGTTTGTCTTAGTGAGCCAGTCATCTGTCTTTCAGAAGCAGGAGGAAGACAATTAGTGCTGCATTACCCTCTCCTGACACTTAATTAATGTCAATACTTAGGGATACTACAACAACAGACATCCAGCATGTGTTACTCAGTCTCCCATGGTGAAGGGGCATGGAAATCAATGCTGGTTCACATGAACATCTCTGATCGAGACACACATAAGGGAGACAGGTTTCTCCAAGCTGCCCTGGACAATGCAATCAGGCTTCTGCCCTTGCAATTCCTGCCATAGGTGCCAAGCCAAGAGACCAACTTGGTATTCAGCAAGTCCACAACCAATTTTGGCTTCCCGGGGAAATCAACCCTGGAGAACCACGGAGATGTGTCCATCGCAAATGCTACCCAAGATGATGTGAGCATGCATGAAGGGGAAGCCAGAACTCAACTCCAAGACATAAACCAACATGTTAACAGGCTCCAGTGGGCAGCCAACAGACCACGGACTCAGGAAAGCTGATATTTCCACATCAATTGCTTTTACAATCCACTGATGGTGACTTCAGCATCACATCAGTAACTGCCAAACACTGGGCAAGCTAGGCACAATGAGGTATCCCTTCAAATATTGAGAGACTGCGAGTGTCTTAAATTATTCTGTGCATTTGCATTAAAAATAGTGGTCTTTTCACACAGCACAATAAGTATTCATGTTTTTTTTAACCTAAACTACAATTCACAGAGATTCATCATTTGTCTGGTCCACATTTCAATTTTCTTTTCTTACAGTTCTTTCATTGTGCCCAAGTATCTCATTCTTCTTTGCTTTTATGTCTTTCATTTTGCCTTGTAGAATAGCCTAAAAATCTCTATTTACAGCTGCACAGACAACTCACACTTAGCTCAATACCTTCTCCCTGTTCAAAGGAGAAAAGTCATAATCACACCCAAACTTGTAGGAAAACAGGAAACCAAGAGAAAACTATGGGGTTTTTTTTATATATATCCATCCAAGGGAAACAGCTATTTGTAAAACAATTAAATGTTTCTTGAAGAACATTTGCAACCCTCAAAACTTGAAAATCACATCAGGCTGCACTAATAAACAGCCCAGTCAAAACCAAAGGCAACTGAAGAGAGGGGTGATGTTCTTCCCTGGTGCAAAGAGATAACACAGCCCTTTATTGTGCTATAAAATCACATTCCTGATGCTTCTGCAGAGGTCTGCACTCCCAGTTCACTGCAGTGCAAGCCAGACCCAGGACCTAAATTAAATGCAAGGATATGCTCCAGCTAACAAGGCTTCCTGAAAGCCAGACTAGATTAACCCAGATCCAGCCCCACAGCAGTTGTCCATCTGGATCAGAATGTGGTGCATATCTGGGCAGCTGGAGCTGTGGTCTCATCTGCCCATTCCCATGTGGACTGGCCTCAAACAGTAGCTCTGAAGTGGTCAGGATGATACCTACTTTAAACCTCCATGCACAAGCCAGCCCCACATCAACAGGGACAACCATTGTGCTACCCAGTGTTCTCTTGCCAAAGAACATCTCCTGTGTCAAAAAGGGGACACAGTAGAGTCAACACCTTCAACACACAAAAGCAGGAGGTTATAATCATTACCTGTGCTCCATGTTATGACAGTTACATTATGAATTTGCTTTTATGAAGCACAGCTTTGACTTGCACATTTGGGACCATTTCAGATGCACAAGTTGACACCTGGATGCTTTTCTCTTCCTACTTTAGCATTACTGGAGTCCTTTGGGGCAAGGTGGGAACAGGTACAGGAAGCACATCTGGTTTGTGCTTAAAAACAGAATCCACAGTCATTTGCAAGACACTGTTTACAGTTTCAGCATTGCCTGAGCCAGTTTTTGATCCTGTTGCCACATCTGAACAAGTTTCCCACAAGCAAGCAGCATCCGCAGCAGCTAAGTTACCCTCTGTGTTGCCCTTTGCACATCTTCCCACCTACTCCCATTGTCTGCAATGAGCAGAGCAACCACTTGGACAAACTTCTTGCAAATGTGATGGGTAGGTGAGGAAAGTCATGAGCAGGGCTAGAAAACATGCTACATAGTCCTCTAAAATACCTCCAAAGTCCTCATCATTGCTGCTCTTCCATGTTACAGCCTGAAGTCCTGAGCACGTTAAGATGTGGTGCCTCATCATATAAGTATGATGTAAACTGAACCCAACAGAAGTTGGGTTTTCACCTTTGAAAATCAGTATCAGAACTGGCCTTTGGAGCCAGTGTGATATTTATACATCAGCCACATTGAACATGAGCAAGTAAAACTACAGTCCCCCACGGAGACAAGTAGAATACCTTACAGGAAGGGATCAATACCTTACCAAGAGGTTGATAGCCTTGTCTTGAAGGGCCTCCAAATGGATTCCTGCTCCCAAATCCACTCCCATCAATGGATCCATAAGACATTTTCTAGATAGCAAGGTGCAGGATTATACTTCAAACCTAAGACAACAGAAAAAGACAACACTTAAAAGTCAGTTCAACACCAGTATTCCAAGAAAAACAGGAAAAAACTAAAGCTAAATGAAATAAATATAGGAGTATCTCCAAACTTCAGGATGCCCACTGCACTAAAATCCAGTTTTCCTAGACCACACCAGACATAAGGGGCAACCAAGTCATTCTAGCTCCCTGTGCCTTAATTCCTCCAGTGATAAAGGACAACTATTCATCTGTTTCAGCCATGGCAAGATTTAATTCCCTGCTGTTCACAAGGTGCTTTGAGATCCTGAGCTGGTAGGCAAAGACTTAGGCACTCGATCAACAAAAGGTAATGCTGTCTTCTGGAACATTACCACTCCGCAGCTGGCTAGGAGTCTATCCATCACAGCGCAGTCTTGATGAGCTCTCAAAAGAGACATTTTACTGCTATATTATAAGCTCCTGGGCCTCTGGTATAAGTATTGGAGCCAGAGTTATTTTTCCTTGCTAGTTTAGAAAAAAAAGGGGGGAAAAAGGCAAAAGGAAAAGCTGCAAGGTAACAGCAGCAGGATGGAATCAATGCAGCCCTGTCAGAGAAAGACTGAGCTGCATCAACAGGATCATGACCTGTTGAAGGAGGTGATCCTGCACCTCTACTCTGCTCTTGTGAGAAAGCACTTGGGACTATTGTGGGCAGTTCTGGTGTCCTCAGCATAAGAAGGAGATGGAACTGTTGGAACAAGTCCAGAGACAGCCACGAGGATGCTCAGGGGCTGGAGCACCTCCTGTATGGAGACAGGCTGAGAACATTGGGGCTGTTGAGCCTAGAGAAGAGAAGCTGCGTGGAGACCTCAGAGCAGCCTCCAGTGTCTGAAGGGAGCTACAAGGATGCTGGAAGGGACTCTTCATCAGACACTGTAGTGACAGGACAAGGGGTGATGGGTTCTGACTGAAACAGGGGAAGTTCAGGTTGGAGATAAGGAATAAGTTCTTTACTGTGAGGGTGCTGAGGCACTGGAACAGTTTGCCCCCGTCTTTCTTATAAGTCCCCTTCAGGCACTGAAAGGACACAGTAAGATCTCCCCAGAGCTTTCTCCAGGCTGAAGAACACAACTGTCTCAGGAGAGGTGTTCCATCACTCTGATCAGTTCTGTGGCCTCCTCTGGACCTGCTCCACCAGGTCCAAGTCTTTCCTCTGCTGAGAAAGATACTGGGGTGTAAGGCTGGATAACAAGAGATACAGTGCTCCATCCTGGGCTTAGGTACTCAAACTGTACATGGCCTGGACAAGACACTGTCCCATTGACATGCAAAGAGGTGGGAATGGTCACCAGCTTGCAGGAGCTGCTTGACACATGGCCATATGTTGCGTGATGTCCTGATGTATGCATTGACAGATGCCTCAGCAGAGGGCTGAAGTCTCTTTTGGGTTGTGTTGACACAGTGGTGTATTTGCAACTATTCCTTTTGTGCTCCATGGAGAAATCCCCAGTTGTGGGCTGCACTGGGAACAGCCTAATGGTGTGGGACACTTCTTGTACTTCAGTCTTCTTTTTTTCTTTCATAATATCAAAACCAAGCAGATTCACCACTGACATTCATCACACAGGTTAACTTTAGGACTAAAGGAAATCACTCACCATTCTCACCTAGTTGGGCCAGATACATAAAAAAGGATGAAAGCACAACTGCCTTCAGAGACCAAGGGATGGAGCTAAATCTATTAAAAGCAGAGTAAATCCAGCGTACAGCTTCTCCATCCAGCCCCAGTGTACCACGTATGCATGTAATTGGCATCTAAGGCTGCAGGTGCCCCTAAGCCACAAATCCTTCATTTTAAGAGAACTTTTAGCACAAACCTATGGCAGCAACCTGCAATAGCCCAAACAGCCAAAGAGAAGGATAAATGTGTGTATTTGTGTGTGCGTTGAGGAGACAACAAATGAAGTAAATGAGAGGGGAACTTAAAAGAAGCCATCTGCAAGCCAAGGGTTTCCAAGACACTCAACAACACAATAACAGTCCCGTCAAGCATGTCAAACTATAAGGAGCCTATAACGTCTTGATGGAAGTCATTCATCACAACTACTAAGCACTACAAGAAACAAGATGAAGATTCACTCGGGGAGCCTGCAGCAGACTTAAGAACAACTCTTATCTTCCCCAGGTCTCAGATTTGCCCACACCTCCCACAGTAACACAACCTCCATTGCAAAATCCAACCAAAGGTCCAGCAAAATTCCTACTTGGGAAAATAAGGGCACATAGAAGACAATTACAAGAAACTTTCTGGGCAGGGATAAAGACTGGTGCTTTCTTTATCTCAAAGCATGGCTACAGATTAAAACCACTGCAAGCAGGGAAGCAGGACAACCAAGAGCTTGAAAACAGAGGCTGATCTTGACCCATCCTTTCTCTTTGGAGATAAGCAAGTGGAAGCATTTGCTGCTATGACTTCCCCAGGGCCACACACAACAAAACGTGGACTGAAAAGTCTACACAGTGTTGTAAAATGACTTGATTACAGCTGGGCAAGCGTCCCTTTGGCAAACAGTGAATGCACCTATTTTTGTCCCCAGCAGAGCGGTGCTAAAGGGGGAGAGCAGGATGGCTTCTAGAGCACTCCAAATGGTTTGTGTTCATTTATCACTTTCAAAGCTTCCATTTTAAAACTTTTTCTCCCTCTGAGGGAGAAAAAAAAATAGAGAAAGAAAATGAAATATTTTGGTTTAGTTCAAGCATCCTTTTTAGCAACAACCACCTCCCACCCCGTCCTACTAAGCCATTGAAATACTCGCTATTCACACAGCTTCGCAACCACACTCCTACCCCACAGTAAGGTATTTACAGGAAAATGGAAGAGTAGATCTAAATGCCTCTAATTTGATTGGCAATAAAAGCATTTCCCTCCCCATCCCCATGGCACCTCCTAAGTCTTTTGTCTACTGCTCCTTAGGGAGACTTGTCCAATTTACAGTGAAGGCAGTTGGTACAGATTGGAACAAGTATTGCCTGAAATACTGGATACAGGAGGGGAAAGGAAAGAGAGAGAAAAAAGCATTTTATCACAGCTTTAGCCTCATCACCTAAAGCACAAATGAAGGAACAACCACCCTCAAGCCAGACTAAGAGGCCATCCATCCTGCCAAAGACATGCATTTGTATTATAATGAGATGTGACTACTTCTTGCTTTATATACCCAGTAGAAGTTAATCATGCAGGGGATATAAGAGCAGGATGCAGGTGGTCAAGGAAAGGGTTGGTCCATGCTTCCTGGGTTGGGAAAGACACTGGAAGGCAAAATTAACTAAAGATTTCAGGTTGGATATAAGGAAGAAGTTCTTTACTGTAAGTTGGTGAGGCACTGGAAAAGGCTGCCTAAAGAAGTGGTAAATGCTCCATCTCTAGCAGAGTTCAAGGTGAGGTTGGACAGATCCTTGGGTGACATGGTCTAGTGTGAGGTGTCCCTGCCCATGGCAGGGGGTTGGAACTGTATGATCTTAAGGTACTTTCCAACCCAAACCATTCTATTTCCTTTACACATATCAGTCTCCATTCATGGCCATGTTATTAGTAGTTGGAATGAAAGTGAAGATTTCAGTATGGAAGAAATAGGTTAGAGAGCACTTGTGCTGGTTTTGGCTGGGACAGAGTTAATTTTCTCCATAGTAGCTGGTATGGGGCTGTGTTTTGGATTTGTGCTGGAAAGTGTGTTGATAACACAGGGATATTTTCTTTACTACTGAGCAGAGCTTTACACAGAGTCAAGGCCTTTTCTGCTCCTCACACCACCCCACCAGAAATTAGGCTGGGGTTGGACAAGGAGTTAGGGGGACACAGCCAGGACAGCTGACCCACATGACCCAAGGGATATTCTACACTCTATGATGTCATGCATAGGATATAAAGCTGAACCCACACCATTCGATGATTCTATAACTCAGAACAATCCTAACAGAGCAGAAGTGATGTTCAGCAAAGAGAATAACATGCTGCATAATTCAGGTCAGCTGCAGGGACCTGAATTTAGAAGCAGCAAACAGGAGCATTAATGGACTATGGGGAACAACTGTCCAGTGCCGCAGGGAAGAATGGAGGGATACTACAGCTGAACATCAATCTGCAATGACATTCCATGTAAAAGTGGGAATGTCATCGTGGGATTCACAAGAGGGATTACAATCTTCCAGACAGGTGGCGTAAACCTTTTGCTTGACCCACACTGCACAGTCCTGAGCTGTAGGCAATAAGCTCCAGCACAGATTCTAAAGACAGTCTAAGGGGAACTTGGAGATTGACAACAGGGCAAGACAACATGACCTGCCAGTAAAGCCTGAGTAAACGGTGCTGCTCTGCCTATAGAAGGGAAAACTGATGGGAAAACTTGAGCCTTCAAATCTGTGCAAAGCTGTTACAAAAGACAGGGAGGAAAACTTTCTTTTCATCTATGTTGGACAAGGCATGGGAGTAGCTCTAAGCCAATGCAGGAAAGATGAAGTGAGACACTGGGAGCGTCTATGAGGAAGGATAAAACACCTCTGGGAATAGGTAACATGGGGAAGGTCTCCTTACACCTGGAGGCGATAATGACAGTAGTAAGCCAATGGGTTGATCTGTTTAACACCTTCATCTGATCTGGCTGATGGGGAAGAGTGTACCCTTAGCAAGTCTGCTGGTCTCACTACTCGAAGGAGTAGCTGATATACCAGAGGGTCATGCTGCCACAGGACAAGCTGGAAAAATGGGCCAACATCCCAGAACAGTTGAGAAGACCATCTAGGCCAATCCCTCCCTGCTCTGAGCAGGATCAGTTAGAGATGTTGCCCAGGATTGTGTCCAGTTGGGTTCTCACTATCTCCAAGGATGAAGACTACACAACTTCACCAGCAAAAGTCTAGCTTTTGACATCCATCAACCGGAGTCCTTCCTTGGTATCTAAGCAGTCACATCATCCAAGTGAAGATCATGGATGATTATGGGATGGGAAGAAAGGGTCACACAATGTGGTCAACTGCAAAAA